TTTACTAAATATAACACTTGGTGAACAATATTTGTTCTGTATAAAAGAAAACCTTAATCAGGCGTCAAGCTCACAAATACAAAATGAATAAGAATGCTGATGATTTCGAACAAGTCAATCGGCAGAACACTCCGCGCTTGATCGAATGCGCACGTTGTCAAGCCTCATGAAATTTCCGCGATAATTTTCACAAAATATTTCCCAGCGATTACCGTAATTATATGTCATACATTTACATTTATCTGATATTCTTACGTAATACGTAACGTTCAAAATACAAACTCAGACCAGTAACTTAATACATGTACTGTGTACTGGCGATAGCAACAAGGTATCGTGGTATATAAAAATGACGCCATACAAGACTCTTTAACCACATAAAGTCAGAGATTCTATAATATGCAATTTATTGAAGGGTGATTATTTGCCCCCATCGCTTCTCATAGTTCTGAAAGGATCTAAAATCAAGCTATTTATCATTCGACGGATAACATAATTTGTTTGATGTTTGAAGTTTGATGTTGGGGGCATTTATTATCCAAATTTGGAAACAGTGAAAACAAAAAGCTTACCGTGTACATAGGTTAATAATCAGTAATAGTAAATAACATGCCGTTCTCTTTTCTCACTGAAGCAATTGTTGCGGATGAATGCATATAGTTTTTGGAGAGAACAATTACGCTGCAGCGCTGAGTGCATTTGCATCAACAAATTTGCACTGAAAGGATTCAGATATTGTGTTATTCGAATAGCACTGATGTTACGAATTACAACATAAATTTAAGGGATGGAAAAAAACGAGGACCGCGATATTTTGAAAGCCACCTGTGTTATCTATGCTATGAATCAGTGTTTTAACCCTCTTTGCTACTGACATCAAAAGTCTTACTTAATCATTTAATCAATTTAGTCACTTGAAGGCCAACACTCTTATGGTACTAACCCTTCCTAAACCATCATCTGAAGATTTCCGGGACTCAGTCTTACCGTCTTCCAGATAAACTTATTACTTATCGATTTTGATCGGTCAGTATGCTGATAGGTATTTGTCTGTTTGTCTGTTAGATGTACGCGATATCTCACGAGGTAGATCTGCTCCAAATTTTGCATGTGCATTTAAAATATCTCGGACCAGAAGCCTATTGATTTTGGATGAATTATGTCGTATAACTAGCGAGTTATTAATTAATTAGTGATGGGACACGCGGTGTCACTATTGAGTGAGAGCGAAGGATACACGCCGCTAGATCGATAAGTCGGCGGTCTCTGATCGCTATCTCGTTATATATTAACAAATTGACAACTGCTTGCGTCTCTTCGTCATATGCGAAATGTGAATGTCTTGTATTCATATTTTTTTAATTTTATACCCCACTATTTTGATCAAAATTCGTATTCAGCATCATCTACTTTTCGGAGTATTTTTAACAATCGCTGCTTAAAAGCATTTTCTACGACGAGCTATACTTACCATCCCATTCACATAAACTGATCCAAGTATTACGTAAATCAAGACTTGAAAGAAACCTCGTCAAAACTGCTACACGCTGTCTACCACTCTCCCACGTCTATCTCTGGTCCCGCAACTTTACTTTCAATTGATTTTTCTATCGTTTCTAGAATAATTTTTGCATCAAGTTGGTTCCGCCTTGAGACGAAAACAATTTCGGAGGAATAATAATAGAATCAGAGCATTACACGCAACGCGTTGGCTTGCGAGAAAAATGAAATCAGAGTAAAGCCTATTAAACCTATTGCAGTAGGTAAGAATATAGCCATAATTTGAGCATCAAAAACAATCCGATCATTGCGCGGGTTTATGGAAATAAAGAAATAAAATATGGAGTAGCCGAATTTGAGCATCACACATAATCTAGCCAGTGCGTAGGCTTCAGGCTGTAACGGAAGCGTGTAAGATTGGTAGTGAACAAGTAGATTCGGTACCTTCACCCGGAGCCCAGTTACAATGCCCGATAATCCAAGTTCCTTGTCAGTTCCACAAAAAATGTCTTGAATAACGTTTAACGCGTATTTAATATTGAAATACAGATCATATCATTTTATTTGTATCAGTATCATACATTGTATTAATTAAGCAAAACGACTGTCCGACATCCGCCATCTCATTTCCGCGGTAGTTTAGCGCAGTTGGTTTCAGACTGTGTGTCTCATAGTTTTTCGAGGGTGAGTGATGCTTTTCGAATAAGCAAAAAATTTTATTTAGTCTGACTAAATATGGCATTAATTATCTTAAGTGTAGAATAATATTTTCTGCTCCTAAATATTCAACTTTTCTTAATTGAACCCAGTTTGACATATTATCGTGATATTATGACGAAGCAAATATTTATATTACTTCGGCAAAGCTTCCCGGCCTCGGCTAATTACTCCGGGGAATTTTACCAGGTTAGGGTCAGGCCATTTTTTTATTCAATTTTCCATATTTTAGTTCTATTACGAGTTCGGGGACTATCTGTGTTAGCCAAGAGAATATCCCAGATTTCAGTCCCTTTTCACAACTCGAAGTGACATAGGCGAACAAAATTGATTACATCCATATTGGTACACATACTTCTGGAGCGCCAACTTGTCAAATGAAATAATCTTGGCTGAATACCAATCATCAAGAATTTACCATAATGATTATACATACATTCGATTGAATATCAATTTATTTATTAAATATTCTTGATTTGTCATTCTTGAATATTTTTGCCACTGCAGTATTTTTATTTATTTTCTGTTATTATTTGGGAATATTTATCATGCAATGTTTCACGCATTTACTCTGATTAAAACCTTGGGCAGGTAGACCGTAGGTTCTTAAAGTGCTCCGTACGGAGCCCCAGGCAGGTGCGAATTAAGCCCCTCTGGTGCCCTAAGCACTGAAGACTTTGGTGCCCCCTTATGTGTAATTTAATTACACATAAGGAAAACACGTGAATCTGACGAAAACACGTGAATCTGATGACACGTGAATCTGACGACAACAAACGGCGATTTTAACAAAATGCAGTAGCGCACGTTCTTAGCGACTTTTATTAAAAGGGAGGGGGTTCGACCCCAAATTTATTATTATGTTTATCTAGTGTCAAATTTACAGACTCAATGTATAGAATTTATCTGTGAAATTTGGATTTATTTATGGACTGTAATAAATTAACCCTATTAAAAAAGGTTTAGAATTTAAACTGAATAAAGTAATTGTAACTTACTTGGGAACAATAATCGCTAGGTAACAATGTGTTTTTTTATTTGTTCAATTATTAAAATTTATTGTGGGGCTCCGTGAATAATAATCAACCTCTTTAGGGCTCCATGACACCAAACGTTTGAGAACCCATGATGTAGACACTGACTGATACTGAAAAAGATAATTTTGGAAGGATTGGATTTCCTTCAAACCTTGATTTTTTCGAATTTCTCTGAAATACTCGGAGCTATTTTTATTGCATAAATATAAAGCCCAAACAGGCGAATCAAATGCAATCACACACGTACAACATATTCACGTACGATTCTTTCACCTTTTCAAATATAACATAATATTCCATTTTCTGTTATGTAAAGCTGTATTGTCCTGATTTCTCGGCGCTCTTGGTTTCATCCGACATTTTACTAAACTTCGTCACCATGTGGATTTTTTATAAATCACTTCCAGCGTGCAAGTGTCCAGCGACCGTTATTAGAAAATATATATTAGTACAACTTGGTGCTCATATATTTAGAACATGCTGTATTGTTTGTAGAATCGAATAGCTGAAAGTAATACAATTGTTTCCGTTGGTTTTATTTGCGACACCAAGCCTCTTTAGGTAGGGATGATGCTGTTCTTGGTTTTGATTCATCAAAACTGTTACCTGAAATAATAGAACTACATCACGATTTTCGACCTATGGGTCATTTTGCTAGTGTCCTTCTTGCTGGGAACCGTTCAATTTTCCAGTACTCACAAGCGGAAGAAGTCACTAGAAGGCTTTTTTTTCAGTTTCTCCTCTAAATCCTACGTGACCCGTTAAGTTACCCATTTGGGGGCACGAAGTATTCCTTGGATCGTTTTTGTTATGATGTTGTTGTTCTTGTTGGTATTTTTCTTCCTATCGTTCTCATTGAAAAAATTGCATTTCTCTTCAATTACTGGATCAATTGCTTTGACATTTTCACTGGTTGAATTGTATTTTTTGCTAGAAGGCTATTACTTTTATTTATCTCAAAAATTTCTATGGGTTCGATTTTTGTGTGCCATGACTTGTGGCGGTTCCGCGTTTGCCTCAATTGTTAAGCTCGCGCTATTCTACAGTGACAGATTGCATATATCATCAGTCGTACTACTTCGTTTTGTCCTTCCTTTCCATATATTTGAGCATCGCTCCCTTGTTATTCATCGTTACAGATTTTTTAGGAACAAATGAAGAATAGGAATGGGAAAATTAAGTCTTTGTTCGCAACATCATTTTAAATACCCTATTAGACTATACATGTATACGAGATTGAATCAACGACATTCAATTTATTTGTGTCACAAATATGGTGCATGACGCAGAGATTTACTTGAATGATGTTTGAATACCTTGAATAAACCGACAACGTGACAACGTCGGCAAATAATTTTGCATTCGCCTTATCATATGAAGATGTAGGCTTGCTATGCTCAACCAAAAAGATGGCCCTTCATAAAACCCCGAACGTTTCGGTAAGTGGATGTTTTGTAGTGCATATGATTCGGTTGTAAGAAGTGAAAGCATTCATAACAGTTCTTCTCGTTCTAAAAGCCTTTTGTATCGAATATTATGTTTTTTCTATTTTATAGATTCCTCTAATATTTTAAGGTCACTCTTACATTTAAACGACTGTGGTATGGGAAATAAAATATTTCAAATCCCAGGTGTAGAATTTCGCCTTCACTTAACGCCGTCACTTAAAACAACACAACAATACGCAAAATTACCTATTGATATATTATCATCTTGCCAGAACACACTGCACAAAGCACAAAGCATTGAAAAATATATATGGAAGCGATCACTTTACACGATCATGAAAAGCAAAAATAAACTATAGCATATTGGTATAGAACGCCAATAAGGCGAAAAGTGAGACAAGAATTGTTTCGGCACTGGTGGAGAATCCATGGTTGTCACCCGTATTGCAGAAGTCTAAATATAGTTGTAATCGCATTAGAGAACATTCTAATAAACATTTATATCAACAAATATTACCTAATATATATTTATAATGAAACCTGTATTAATTCGTCTATGATTTCAAACTATAAAATGACGATGCGCGTTTTCTTTACAGTTGAGGTGTGAAATTCATGAACACACCCAAACTGTTTATTCAGAAGAACTAAGTAACACGTGAAACATTGAATTTTTTGATATATATGTCTTAGAGAAGGTGTGTACAACCTGCGGTACGCGGGCCAAATGTAGCCAAATAGAAAAAAATAGCCTAAGAGGATTATTCGTAAAAGGGAGGTTGTTGATCTAAGTTAAGTTAAGTCTAAGTCAGGGTGGTCCAAGGTTGACGGCCCCGCGGGCCACAAAATTATTTTTGCTTTGTTCGCGGACCATAATAGTGCCAAGAATAGGTAAACAGTGCAATACCAAACAAATACCTTTATCGTGCAAACACATAGTTATCAGGCATAGCCATTCTAGGCTAATAGAATCCGCATTCGATTTTTAGTTTTCTATGAGAAGAAGTTAGAAAGCCAGATAACAATTTAGACTGCCAAGCACATCATTCAACTTTACTAGTTTCCTCAGCTATCCATTATTTAATGCAGTGACATTAGTGATAACAATGTGTCAAAAGGTTTTTCTGATTAATTTTATGACGAAACAACACGAAATGCGATTTTTTGATTACTCTCCGAATGTGACGCGGGCCACAGATAATGAAGGGGCGGGACACATGTGGCCCGCGGGCCTGGGTTTGGTCCACCCTGGTCTAAGTAGATGGCGAAAATCATGGGAAGGAAAATGTCCATATTTATATTTAACTTGATGTTAATAGTGTAAGTTATCTTAGTTTCAATGATGTTACAGGAATGCTTTAATAACTTCAGTGCCTATTGTTTAACAGGTTTGATTCAAAGTGGGTAAAACGGCAGATAAATGATACAACAAAATTCGATACAACGATGCACAAATTGAAATATTTTTTTTTGATGGATTGTAACTATTCGTGAGTACCGTGATTAAATTATTTTATTTGTGAAAAGGAAATTAATCAACAAGACCAGCAAAAAATATTTTTGTAAATATGTATGTCGGAAATATAACTATCAACAGAACGAACATGAAAATTTCTTTGTTATATGATGGAAATGTAACCTCCTTCCGAAACTAAAACATGCGAGAGATGCGCGATATAAAAGTTAACGAGACTTTTAAAATTCGAAACCCATGTTACCCATAGTGTCGATACTGTTGATACCGATATATTCGTAGTTTTTCAATATTTTTCAAATATATTTCTGTATATGGTTACAATAACGGCTGCCGAATTTCAAAAACATACCGAACGACCAATATGTATCACCTGTTTTACAAGTTCTCGTGCATAGTGTCCACTTATGTCCGGTTTGATTCGTAGCTTGGACACAGTCTCCCACCTCATATGAGGAGCATCCGCGATCGATGTAAACAAGATTTCCGTTGGCTGTAAAAAGAGTGTAATAATTGTCAAATAAACAAGTTTTCTTCTGCTTTTTCATTCAAGTCTTTCAATACTCAGCACTAAATAAAGTATGCGACATAAATAAAGAAAAAAGTGGTAAACTGTCATATTAGGTATAGCTTTCATTTGATAATAAATCTTTAGCTTTACGTTTTAACAGAGTAATTATACAGTTGAAACAAAGCATATTCAATGCTCATATCGTTTGAAAACTGTTTTGCGGCTGTAAATTCTCACCGTCTTTTGCAGTAGCAACGTAGCACAGATGTTGTTCGTTGTAGCAAGTTCTATTGTTGTAAGGAAAATCTGCCTGGAAGCATTCTTCGTAATCAAAATTTGGATAATCATAACAAGAGTAGCAATTACGTGCTTGCCCTTGATGAAATATATAAAAAATGTCAAATAAATGTGTTCTATTTCTCGTAAGACAAATGGAAAGTTTTATTTTAACGTATTGTTTGTATTTTTTATTTTGCAATTATAACTGATCACTGATTTATATGTTTAAAGCTAATTCATCCGGCTGATTTAGCGTCGCAGAAAATTTTTCAAATTTCATGTGTATCACATAGACTGAAACGTCCGAATCAGATTATTTGGATTAGACACATCGTTGTCATGTAAAAATGAATTATCCTTTCGTTGAGAGAAAATATATGGATGCTTACCCGCACCTACAGCAAATATAAATAGGGTCACGGTGAATAGAAACATTCTGCCGACTTTATAACGAGAGTCTTCTATGTTGCTTGAAAGTTCTTCAAACTGAAAATCGTTTCATTCATACGCGCTTCCTTTTTATTTCTCCAATATTTTTTCTCTCGTAAAATAGATTTCTCTTTCTCTCTCTACTTTTTTTTTCAACTGGTAAAACACAAGTAGGCAACTCTCATTGAAGAGAAATTTAAACCGTGCGATTTTCTATGAAAAAATCTATCAAATTTACTTTAATTTTGGCGTCAATTCTGATATTATTTTGGTTGTGTTGGAAGTTGGGGTTTTGGGTTCTGTTCGTGTTTGCTGGCTGACGAAAAATCACTTTCTTTTGGCAAAAATTCCACTTGAACTCAATAAAAGCTTTGTCCATTTTCCTAAAAAAATTTCATATAATTTACATCATGAATGGAGATATATAGAAAATTAAAATAAAATTGTATAACATCTTTAAATAATTACCCATTTTATAGAGATATTATAGATAATATGGAGTCAGCAATTGCACTCGCTGTTTAAATAAAATTAAGTGTTTAAAATTTGTGTTCATAATTTTCTTGAGTATTTGATTAAATATTTTGGTTCCACATTGCCAGAAGGGATATATATATAGTTCGATTGCAGAATCCATATTAGCAACGAGTAAACGAGGTCACTAGAAAAATAAAGATCACTTACGACAGACAAAACCAGACATATAAATACTTCAGAAATTAAGTGGATCCACACAACTGTCCATCACAATATAAATCCAGGTAAACATATAAAATATTTTTCAACTATTTATATTAATTCAAACTCATTCAGCATTTGTAAAAAAGGATGTACGAGCAAACCCACTCAAATGTTTCAAATCGGCATGGTTACTGTTTTTGTTGTTTCATACTGATACACAGGGCATGTTTTAGACTTAGAGAATGTTTGTTAAACACAATACGTTCTTGAGAGTCCCATACACTCACTGAAGAGGTCGGACATTCTAAAAACATGCCGTGTATTTTTGTAAAGATGACTGCTTGGTTAGTGCGTTATTCGTAGCAAAAATGTGAATACATTCCATAAACTGTTTAACCAATTTTCATCAATACCCAAAATCAAAATACTTGTGTCAGACGAATTGGGATTGTTCACTTTTTCCAGATTTATTTTTTGTTCTATATTTCTGTACTGACATATGATCTTGTTACATGTGGGGTTTCTAAATCTAGTGGGCAATAAATTTAGAGAATATAATTTTTATATATCTGAAAGAACTTACCAATTGAGAACACATACAAATTGAGACTTAAAAATATATAAATGTGAGAGTTAGATACAATATGGTTAAATCGTTCACAGGTTCTCAAATTATCGATGATAAACCGCAATGACACGATACAATGATCGTGTGTGAAAGACAATTTATAAAAATTTGATTTGATACACAGCGGTATAACCGTTAGATAAGTTAAACAATAACTCTTTTCAAAAACGGTGTGGTTTATTAAAATCCATTGTCTATGTAAACAGTTAACAAGACAAGACTCGTCAGACGAATGATAAACATGAAGCGGATAAACAATACTTACAATTACAAAGGTCACTGACCCTACGGTCCCATTTTAAATAATAAGTCATTGTCTGGAATTATAATCTTGCAATTATTTTTATACAACCCAACGGCCAGAGGGAATTAGGCAGATTATTAAAAAAGTATTAGATATGAAATATAGTCGTAAAGTATTTGAGAAAATAGGAATTGATGAGACTTAATAACGTTCATTCGTTTGGGAAGTTATAGAATGCGTTATAATACTTCAAAATTAATCACCATCATGATCAAAACAAATCACCTTCCACGCGCGCAAACGTTTTGTTATATTATTTTACAAGAAGTTAAATATTATGGACTTGTCTGGAGACGTGTCATTTAAAAGCGGATTCGAAGAAGGGATTTGAGACAAATGCCAATTATTCTCCAAAAATAATAATCCTCAATTTTTTTTTATACAAAGAAAGCAACGAACGAAGGGAATTGCGAAAAATAGAAAGTTAACCGCAACATAACAGTGGGCGAATATATATATATATATCCGTATAATATATAATAATAAAATATATAATAATATATATAATAATATAATATATAATATAATAATATATATATATATCCTATATACCCGTAAAAGATTTGAGCAAATGGGAAATAATGGGGCTTACGCCGCTTTAATGTTCGTTGGGTGTTTGCAAATGCGTTATAGATAAGATACCTCTCATTTATCACCATCAAGATTAAGACATACCGCATCCTTCACACACAGACGTGCTCATTTTACAAGAAACTGGTAATACTAAATGTTGCTTTGTCGTGAGACATGACATTTTCGAGTGTGTTTAAGGAAGGAAACTGATAAAATGCACTCCAGTACCCTAATTCATACTAGAACGATAGTTTGAGTGGAACTTTATTTGAATTGTGAAATTACTTATTCATTTAGAAATTTACGAATAAAATAACGTCCGTAGCAAAGTATTACCGAGCAAGATGGTGCTGAGACTGAACTAAATATAATCACACAAATAAGCAAAAAACGAAAATATTTTCCTATTTGAGTTTATTTTCAAATAGTCATCACTTTAATAAATTTCATAACAGCAATAATTATTAGTACTCCAAATCTCAATAACAATTTCAAACTCTTGTTGATTCAACCTTCAATCTCTTGTTGATAATTTTTTTTACATTTTATGATCATTCCATTCCCTGAAATGAATGAAAAATATCTGATAAATACATTTTCTGGATACAAGAAAAAATTAGTTGAAAGCTAATGAAATACATACCTTGCTTCACATATCAGGAGCTTTAGATATGAGTTTGTTGAGTGCAGATTCTGTCATGTCAGCTCTTTTTTCAGCATCGTCCAACTCGTGTTGCAGTTTACGATATTTTGATAAGTTTTGGTTGGCTTGTTCCTCGGCTTCTTCAGCTTGTCTCTTGTATGTTTTGACCTTGATTTGAGGTTTGTCAACGAGATCTTGGATGCGGGTCAGATTCTTTTTGTCTTCTTCTGCTTGGTATGTAATTTCCTTCAACTTGCGTTCGTATTTACGTTAATCACCATCACGATCAAAACATATCACCATCCACGCGCAAAACGTTCTGTTTTACCATTTTACAAGGAACTATTAATAATGAATATTATAGCCTTGTATTGAGACGAGCATTCAAAAGCGGATTTGAAGAAAGGATTTAAGACACTGCCTTCTCGTGCCCTGAATCGTATTACGACTACACAGCTTGGGTATAACTTTCTTCGCGTTGCGGAATTGTTTTTTCATTTTCAAAATTTCAGAATGGAATACCGTCCACAACAACGACTGAACTAAAGATAACCACACAAGCAAACATGAACGAACATATTTTCTCCTGTAAAATTTATTTCAAATAGAAAAAGAGAGACCAAATTTCAAACACTTTTTTTTCAGAATAAAACCCTTTACATTGTTTTAATATTCCATTCCCTGAAAAGAAAACTATACTTACATTTTCGAAATAGACGATAAATTTTTTTATTAGTAGAAACAAATGAAATATTTATTTTGTTTCACGTACCACGAGCTTTAGATTTAAGATTGTTGAGAGCAGATTCTACCATATATCAGACAAAAATTAAACTTCTTTTTTTTCTGCACAAAAATTCAAAAGAGGCGTTGTCAATTCCCTTCATATTTTGTACATAATTTACAGCAATGCTGCTTAATTAACACGCGGCTCCCCAGACTTTTTTCCATGTTGCTCGCGATATAATAGGTGTTTCCAATTTCATTATTCGTTATAGGCTGTAAAGAATGAATTTTGATTTTGGCGTGATTGTCACGGCCATCTACATCCAAATGTAGGGTCGCTTCATTACGAATGTATCAGACGAACTGTGATTGTTCTCTTTTTTAGCATTATTTTCTGTTCTTTTTTTATTTCTGTACTGACATATGATCTTGTTAGGTTTTTCAAATGTAGTGGGCAATAAATTTACTTGAACTTTCACATATCTGAAAAAACTTATTATGCATAAAATACACAAAATGATACTTAAAGTTATATACATGTGATACTTGGATGAAACATGATTAATCCTTACAGAATCATCACAACGATAAATGATAGTTAATTGAAAAGGTCACTTACCACACAGTTCCTCTAAATGTCAATTATTCTCCAAAAATATTAATCCTCAATTTTTTTTTATACAAAGAAAGCAACGAACGAAGGGAATTGCAAAAAATAGAAAGTTAACCGCAATATAACAGTGGGCGAAAGGCAATATATTCGTAGAAGATTTAAGCAAATAAGAAATAATGGGGCTTGCACCGAATAATGTTCGTTGGGTGTTTGCGAACGTCAAATGCGTAATATATAAGATACCTCTCATTCATCACAATCAAGATCGCATCATCCACACACAAACGTGCTCATTTTACAAGAAACTGGTAATACTGAATGTTGCTTTGTCGTGAGAAATGTCATTTTCGGGTGTGTTTAAAGATGAAATTAAATCGTACTGGAACGACAGTTTGTGTACAACTTTATTTGCATTTTGAAATTACTTTTTCATATAAGAAATTCACGATTAAAATAGCGTTCCACATTCCTATACTGACATATGATCTTGTTACATGTGGGGGTTCCAAATCTAGTGGGCAATAAATTTGAGAGAATAAAATTTTTATATATCTGAAAGAACTTACTATATAAAAAACATACATATTGAGACTTAAAAATATATAAATGTTAGAGTTAGATACAATATGAATAAATCGTTCACAGGTTCTCAAACTAATGATGATAAACCGCAATGACACAATGATCGTGTGTGAAAGACAATTTATGACAATTTATATGATACACAACGGTATAAACGTTAGATACGTTAAACGATAACTCTTTTCAAAAAGGGTGTGGTTTAATCAATTGTCAATGTAAACATTTAACAAGACAAGACTCGTCAGACGAATGATAAACATGAAGTGGATAAACAATACTTACAATTACAAAGGTCACTGACCCTACAGTCCCATTTTAAATAATAAGTCATTTTCTGAAATTATAATCTTGGAATTATTTTTATACAACCCAA